CCCCCCCCCCCCCCCACCCCACCCCGAGGCCACTGGCTTGCTAACTTTAGAGTTAGAGGAAGCAAGGCCCAAAGAAAATGCTCATTTGTAAACCACCTCATATTCAAGTCACTGTACAGTTGTAGCAGCTGAAATCGTCTCACAGCAGAAGAATGTCGCCTATATCTCGTAGCACTAAAAAATATTGGATGGTACGGTGCCTGGACTAGCTACCTGTGCATTGTAAAGCTAAGGACAACACTAGATCGGATCAATTGGCATAATATGTGGTACGGCATGCACCTTTAAGACAGAAGATGATTTTGTAACGTTCTACAATTTTTCAAGCCGAATGCTAAGGAAAGTGACACAAAATTCGGACGACACTGACGCACGTGCACAATTAAGCATGAATTGAGATAGCCATTTGATCGATTGTGCACGCCAAACTAAAGAAAGCAGAAATTTCAGTTTGAAAAAAGACTAGCTGACGAGAAAATATCTTGATAAAGAAGTCGACTTGTGACGGGTACGTCTCAGAAACAGTTACTGTAACATACCCCTAACATACCTTTTGGTCGCTTGCACTCTGGCAATCCGCCATGTTGAATGCCTGTAACCTGGCCTGCTAGGTACACGCGTGGTCACTAAGCTCACTAATTGAGATTGAAAGTTTCCATAACGACAGTAATTAGCTGTAGTAGTTTTATTCGTTCACACATAAATGAAGTCGACGAATCAGCTGGAGACGCCGTGAAATCCCACTTCTGAATGCTGTCAGGATAAATTGCTGTGGTGTATCGCTCTCTGCCGTCCCATTCAGGGATGCCCTCCTCGGACAAGAGCGAAATGGGCAACGCGCCCGATCAGTCGGTCAAGACGCCGGTAAAAATTTTGCGCGAAACGCCATTAAAGTACCAATCGAATGACCACATAAACAATCTACAAGAAGAAAAAGAAAATTTCCTCAAGTTCGGTAAGGTGCCCCGCTTCACATTTGCCGGAGCCGTGGACTGGCTGGGCATAAACAAGAAGAAAGCTGAGATTCGATTCGATTTTTTTCAAGAAGCGCGTTACATTCTAGAACGCGTGCGAGATGTTTATGGCAGTGGGGATGTGTTTCTGGACGCGGCATTTGGAGAGAGGATTTCGCTTGGTCAAGCATCGCAGACAGTCTTACAGTATTTAAAATCGCATGGTTTGGATGGTTCGCTAAGCGTTTTCTGGACAAGCGATCTCAACTGCAGTGGAAAGATGTTATGGCAGGGACCTAATGTGCGATACAACCGGCCGGAAGCACGGAAATTCACTCTGTGGCTCAAGAAAAGCAATGAAAATGTGTACCTTCGAGAACATGGGATAAAAGGTTTGATGGATCATGAAATTGGGACGCATTTCGTATCCTTTTTGTGCCAACTTTTCATTTGACTGGTTTGGAGTAAGAGTCAAAATTTGAAGTCTTTAGGGGCTATATGTTATTAGGTCTATATAAGGAGCTTAAAGTAATTTTTTTGTTTACATTTGAAATATCTTGGTGAGATTTATTTAATCAAATTAAAATGTGGTTTCATGCTTCACTGCGGGTGTCGATATCTGTTATGTCTGTGACATTGACTGCTATCGACATATTTTTCGCTTGGGGTATGTTGGAATTTCCTCGGAACAACGAGTTGCCAAAAAGTTTTAATTTCTGGTGCTGGTAGTTGCGCTTTTGTGATCAAAGAATTGATGATCAAAGAATTGCAAATTGACGTTTCTTCGACTTCTTGCTAAAATCAGCTGAAAAGGAATGATTCTTGATAAAAACTTTGGTTTCTGCTCACAGAATGAAGATTTGTGTGTGAAGCACAAGATAAGAATCTACCGGTGTGTAAACAAGATTGTCCTGTAATGTTTTCTTTGTTTACATATTTCTGTTGTTTATACAGGTGTCAACCCCTTTGACAATTTTTAAGAAAAATGTACCTAGCAAAAAAGGCTTCCGATCATTCGATTACTCGATCGGACATGTTTTAAGATTTCCAAGCTTTCTGAATACATCACATCCAAACTTTTCTGAAGCGACTGCGTGATATCACGTGCTCATAAACCCAACAAAGTGCCGGTTCATCTCGATTAGTGAAATGTACTCACACACTTCGCGTTACACGCGAATGAACAGCAAGGTCATCAATTCGCCTGAATCCGTGGCATACTTTTGTTGTGAGGAAGACCTGCAGAGAACCTATCCATTAAAAGTTTTCTCGGTAAGATAAGCTGCCTGTTGCAACATTTTTAACAGCAACTGAGCAAGCTTATATTCGGCGGATTTAATAGAAAGTGGTGTAGTAACTGGTGGCAGAACCAGATACCAACTGAACTGGTGGTAAGCTTAATTGATTTAATTAATATTTGTTAATTATCATCATATCATTTCAATTTCATAAACGTCATGAATAGAGCGTATTCACTCACGTGCCCAGTGGCCATGCAAATTTATTGGGACAAAAGAAAGTGTTCACATAAGAAAAGAATTGAGCTCCCACAGGATTAGTTTGGTACACCGACACGGCAGCCGTTTCATTGTTTTAACTGGAACACTAATATGGCTGCCATGACGTCATGTGCATACGCTCCATACACTGATTTCCATTTATTGCAATTATGGGAGCAAACTCAGCAAAATTCCAAATCGTCTTCTAAATCAAATGCCCTTGACTTGTGATCCTCGATCGACATTAGCTTCGTGCTACGAATGATGGTTTGCAGCCGTGGTTTTCCAACAGGAAAAAGTTTGATTTGCGGACTCCCAGGTCTTACGCTGGCAGGGTAAATGAAGAAGGACTGGCGGCTATTAACACTGTTTATCAAGCGCAAGTCAAGATGCTGTTTCTACCGGCTCTACTGTACTGTACGTATCTTGAAACTGTGTTACGCACAGGCATACGGGCCGGGAGGGGGAGGGGGTGGTTATCAACTTCCGTTAAGACCAGGAATTTTGTTAAATTTCTTAGATGTGATATGGCCTTTTTATACTAAAGACGCATTATCCCCTGTCTGGACGAACTTGGGCAAACATATGTAGTTCACCTGGTTATGACGGGCACAAGACGTATTATGTGTCGAGACATTCTATATCTCGTAGTGCGTCGTTCAAGACGCATTTCGAAGGATAGTTCATCTAGACGTATTATGCGTATAAAGACGCATAACCGACGAACTACAAATGTTTACCCAAGTCCTGGTCCAGACGGATAATGCCTCTTTAGTATAAAAACGGCGAGGACACATTATCCTTCTGGACGGGTAATGCGTCCACCAGTATGAAAATGACCATTGTAAATCATTAACGATCTCGCTCTAACATAAGGGAATAATTTATCATCCATTGTGTTTCACAAATGTTACAACATTCAATCGCAAAATAGGTCATTATAGGATGAGTCCATTAGGCGAAACCTAGCCAAACCGTAAAAGATCTGTAACGGAGTAAAAAATGGACATTGCTAAAATGGGATTGCTTTGCAATTACCGTAATTTTGACACTGCTATATTTCAGATACTGCGTGTATGTCAATTGAAATGTCTTTCAAGGAACTGTTTGAGCATCTGGCAATATACATTTACGATCCAGAGCAGCGATGGAAGCAGGTGGTACGAGCCAAGCGCTGCTTGTCAGACTGTAGCGATATAGGGGGCTGTGGATACGATCAGTGCTATTTCGAAGGTATGTCCACGGTGTGAAAGAACACGATTGTATTAATTATAACTTGTGTTGCGTCCGCGGAAGTCGGAAGATCATACAACTTGTAAAACATAGTAAATTAGCGATTAGATTATGAGCTCGAGATTGTTGATGAGGCTGAAGGTGGAGTCAACTATCACCTCATAGAACTCAAGGGCTAATAATCTAATTGTTTCAGTAGAATTCTTATTTAAATTTTCTTCAGCTAACCATTCCCAATTGTTTTCGCCTCAGAAAAATCGCGCGGGCTGATTTGTCGTTTGGAATCTTTCCTGTTGTGTACGTACGCGCATTCGTCAAACGAGAAAACGCTACTGGCTGATAGTTTGCGAGTAGCTCAGCCAATAAGATTGCAGCATTTTTATCAGTAGAATTCCTCTAAATACTATTAGAAACCTGTCGAAACGTGGTTCCCATAGTCACGTGAACAAAATAAATTCACGCCGTCAGACTTGAAGGTTTAAAATCAGTCTATACCAGGACTTCTGGTGTACAGTGACAGACAGTAAAATTTGGCAGTAAAATGTGAATAAATTATAACGCAGTTACCTTCAAATTGTTCTTTTTACCGTAGGAGCTGTCATGATTCTGCGTCAAGTCAACGAGATCGATTTCAAGCTCCTTTACGCGGGAAAAATCTGTTGCGATGAACTCAGAAGAATCAGGCGCATCGCGCGCCAGGACTGCGTGAAATTACCTCACTTCCTTAGGGACATAGTGTCTTACAAGAAAACCCTGAACGAAATTGCTTTAACGAATGGACTCATACAGAAAATAACTAGACCTTTATCTTCGTGTCGAAATGCCGCCAGGCCAAAAGACCGGAAAAGGAAACCATTCTCTTCGCCGAAAGATCGAAGTTCATGTTGTCCTTCAAGATCACGGAGCGGTCTGTCTTTTTCAACAGCGCGTCCAAGGATTTTATCCCGGCGATCCAGCACCTACAGACGTCTGTGTACGAGTGCTGCGTCCTTCGCTCCGTTGTCGTAGCAACGTAACTTAGTGTCTGTAGGGTTTTTTGGATGTGCTGTCTTCGATCCAAGTGCATTGAAAGTACACGTGTGAGTGTGATAAGAACTGACGAAAAAAATAATAAAGTGAGTGTGATAAGAACTGACGCAGAAAATATAATAAGTGTGGTGCGAACTGACGAAATAATAAGGGATTTTGGTTTATACGTCAGTACAGTTTATTAAGCAGGATTTTGTCTGAGAATAAAATTTTATTGCTGATGGTTTGACTGTGTTTATAGAGTTTGCGACTGATCATTTATCCGAAGTGTCAGTATGGTACAAGCGTGAAGGGAGCTGATAAGGATAACCCGTGTCTCCAAATTCGAGAACTAAGCTTTAAACACACTTGAAAATGGCGTGGAATAAAAAAGAAAGAAAGAAAAATGGTGTTTCGAGAGTGCTGTTTTTTTCGAAACCTACCCCAGGGTCCTCCCTAAAGGAGGTCCCTTTTTTTCCACAGAACTTGGTTGCGTCAAATGCATTGCGTAACACAGCCTCTTTGACCAAACACCTTCTCCCCCGAGTCCACTGAAAATATTATTTCTCGCCTCGGGAGAAATGACAGATTGAATAGATGATAATCTGAGATTGTGAGGTTGTGAGTGCTGTGATTGGCCGTGGTGATCTGGGTAACACGAATTTTCACCAGCCAGTCAGCGGAGTACGCCAAAAAACTAAAAATGCAACATGGGGGCCAGAATTTCACGAGCAACTCGTTTTATAAAAAAACCTCTTGAAACACAACGGAGAGTGGATAAAATACTGGAAAACAAACCAAAAGTAGCTCCAAGTCATCCCAGCTCCCAGGCTGTATTAGCTGATGCGCGAAAACGTGAGTACTTTGAGCAAATTTTACCTTGCAGCTCGTCGCGAGGTATCGCATGCTCCTATCCGGTGCAGTTATAGTTTGATTTTAACTAAGTTTTAACTTAAATTCCATAATCTCTCCATATAGATATCGCAGATAAATTTTGTAGACATTTCTGTAACTGAAATACGCGACAGAACTTCTTTTTTTTGGTCATAAATCCAATCAACTTTGCAGGTTTGCAGTGTATGAATGACATAACCATTCTATTTTGTTCCCGCCGTGTCTTCCCGGGGTTGGGGGCGGGGGGAGGGGGGACACCCATATGAAAAGGACGGGGGTGCTCGTGGTACCGGATTTGGTACCTCTCAGGGTGTTCAGCCTGGGAAGGTCCCACAGCAGGAGCTTTCACAGTACTGTTTAGGGTATTGAGGCCAAAAAAAAAAAAGCAGTATTAGTTAATGTGTTACTTTAGGAGTGAAAAAAATTTCAAGCCACCCCCACAAAACAGGGTCTTGGTACCTCTAAGGGGTTCTAATTTCCAGCAAGCACCNCCGCCCCCCCGTATCTTCTCTATCTTGGCATTCTATTTGCTTATGAATAAGATAAGGGAAGGCTAAAGACTTCACAGTGCCGACAAATCATGGCTTAAAATACAATGCAACATATAACAGTGCTATTTAACAACTGAAAAATAAAAAGAGGAAATAAAAAGACAAGGTAGAGGAGGGAGAAAGGGAAAAGAAAGAAAGATTTGTCCTTCCCCCTCTTTTTACCCTGTGAGCTGTCTAATCCCAAGGTAGAGAGCTTGTATACAAGCTCTAATAGTTATTGCATAAGTCCATCTATTGCATCAGATTCAGAGGTGTTTACTTGAGCTTGGCTGGGGTATTGTATTAATCTTGGGTCATATTTCCTCTTCAGTGTCCTGTGTGCTTCCCAAAGAACTTAAGAATTCAATTTTAGTTCATAGTATGCAGCAAGTTTATTTACCTTTTATTTCCAGAAAATGAAGAACTGTTTAAAGAAAGAGATAGAAAAGATGATGAGTTCTTAGGTCGACTCAAAGATTTCAAAATTGATACACTGGAAGCTCCAGCACAAATGGTAAGCGTTTTAGTTTATTTATTTATTTATTTATTTTTTTGCTTGAGTATCACAGTATAAACATCTTTTAGTATTAACTCTGAGCATTTGGTAGTAAACCAAGGCAACAATATCACCTGAGTAGATTCTTTTCTTTATTCTCATCACTTGTCTGCTTAAACTGTATTGATAGCATAGGAAGATAAATTAGATTTTAATCACTCTTGGAAGAGGCATGTTTGTGTACTTCAGCAGTTTAAAATGTTTTTTTCTAAGGTTGCTATCTGTAAGATCATGACTGGCATCTAAATAATAAAAATTCAAAAGCACACTCTGTTCCTGCACATACATTTCTTGGTTTCTGAAAGAACGTTCATGTTGCAGGGGGAGATTGCATAATGAATGGAGAAAATGCAATTATCCACTTAACATAGAATTAATTCAGTTTTATTATAATATTTTGAAAGACTGCAGACATCTTTTCATTGTCTCCCAGATAGTTTCCTTAACTCTTTACAGAATGAGCCAACAGACTTTGTAATTAACATTTTGGGAAACATTTTGACTGGTTAAATGTATAGGTCCAGGGCTCCAAAGAAAGTTGAATTCCAGCTTACCTTTCGGACAAGCAGCTCTCAAATTTTACTTGCCATGGGCAAGTCTTAGATTACTTTTTGTTATTTAGTTGGCAGACAACTTGCCTGGGCCCTCTCCCATTGAGCAAGTGAGGGTAAAAAGTTACTTGCCAACAGGAAAATCTACTTGTTCTGGACTAGTCTGCTTAGCAAGTGTTCTTTTACAAAGAGCTTTTTGTGCATCCTGGCTGCATACTGATAATAGTCCCGGACGGCCGGACACACTTTTCTCGAGCCCTGCAGGTGTAGCTGTTAGCATGCTTTGTAACAATCTCTTCATACCAATGTGCCCCTTCACCCATAAAGCTGGGTTGGGTTTTAGAAAAGTAGTGAGAACATAAAGCGGGGCTGCAAATAACAGTTGGTCATCAGGCATTGGCTGACCAAAATTTGCTCATGTCCAACGAAATCCCAACTGTCAGACATTATGTCCAGACAATTTTTTTTTATCGTAAATCATTTTATGGTAAGGATGAATAAAAATCTACATTGAGTAAATCTTTCCTTTTTCGGTGATGTCCAACCACAATTTGTTTTGTCTGACCAAGATGGTGTCTTAGTAGGACAAATGTCCTTTCAAGAGAAAAAAATTATTTGCAGCCCTGTAGAGTGAATACTGTTTCAGGAAGATTGCAAGTGAAAAGGAATGCATACAGTAAGTCAGTTAGTCATGACTCAATGGTGCAAATAGCAAGCGGATGCAGTTAGCACGGAATATCTGTACACCACCTAGTGATTTCAGGTAGAGGAGTGTGAACTAATTAGAAGCTTGGTGCAAGGCAGCTCAGTGTGATATGCCGGCCAGTATAGTGAATAAATAGGTCTAACCATGGGAACTGGTATAGCTTAGAGCTAGGACTAATAGTGATATGAGAAAGGATATGTTATTTTTTCCATATTTTCTAAATAACTGCATGGTGTCATGACGAATACAAAGGTTGCATAACGTTTTTTTTTTTTTTAAATGGCTACCTGCACATTTATGTCCAGCGAGATGTTTTGCATCATTTTGTGATAATTTTGCATTTCGCCAATTTCAGTCGCTAGTTCCCTTATTGGTGAACTCTTTAACCAATCAAAACACTTGACACTTCTTTCAGCCAATCACGAGAAGCGCCGAAACAAAAAGGAGTTTACCCATGTCTCGTGAGTCACGGGGTCCTGCTGAAATCGGCCAGGTGCCCAAGGGGAAAATAACCAACGTTCAGTTGTCGGAACTGTTTGCGAAAAGACTGGAGGATCCCGACACATGGACAGCAGAGACGCTTGCTAAACATTACCAACTCGACCAGGAGGCCTTGTCTGCGGTTTTGAAATTTTATAGTGACTACGCAATTGTTAAGAAAAGAGACTTGCCCAGACCGGAGGAGCCGAAGTTTCTTGGTTGACATGGTTGATATGGACCTATATCTGCTGCGGCCGGTGAATATGGATTGATGTCGCATGGCAGGGAAACAATTTACGGTATCATATGATTGGTTACTTAACAGTGTCGATATCCGTTGATCAGCTCCTTGGGAAAAAAAAAAGACAACGCTGTGTGGGGAAATTTTGGTATGAACTCCAAGTTACTCAAATTTGTGTCTTGTTCTCTTCAGTTTGACTGATTTCGATCGTTTCCGTTTGGATAGTAAAAAAATGTTGCATCGGTGGTAGAACGTTCGAGTGCAGTCGATGGTTTGGTGGTGACAAAAGTCAATTCAATCATGGCAAATATTATATCTCGGTATCTTTCACCACTTTAATAGTCAAACTTTACAGAAACACCGCCAACTGCTAGTTTTCTTTGGTGAAAAAAAAAACATACTCTGAGCGGTCAACCTTACCTTTTAACCTTTTACTGAATAATGCCGAGTTGACATATTCAGTTACTCGATACTGAGGGATTGCTGATAATGACGAAGACCAGTTATTTCACGCTGTGAGAACCGGACATAATCCTTGTCTGAAGGACTGGCGAACTTGCTCTTCAAAGAATAAAGGCGAGGGAGAAAAGAGACAGGAAAACGTTGTTATTTTAGCATTTAAGGGCCCAGCGGTATCTTTTCATTGTGAAATGTTTTTTTTCCTGTGACTCAAGGTAACACACTGATATGTGGTGGTGCTAATGCAGTGGCTTGCCAACTCTTCCCCCCCCCCCCCCCCCCCCCNAAGTCTTAGATTACTTTTTGTTATTTAGTTGGCAGACAACTTGCCTGGGCCCTCTCCCATTGAGCAAGTGAGGGTAAAAAGTTACTTGCCAACAGGAAAATCTACTTGTTCTGGACTAGTCTGCTTAGTAAGTGTTCTTTTACAAAGAGCTTTTTGCGCATCCTGGCTGCATACTGATAATAGTCCCGGACGGCCGGACGCACTTTTCTCGAGCCCTGCAGGTGTAGCTGTTAGCATGCTTTGTAACAATCTCTTCATACCAATGTGCCCCTTCACCCATAAAGCTGGGTTGGGTTTTAGAAAAGTAGTGAGAACATAAAGCGGGGCTGCAAATAACAGTTGGTCATCAGGCATTGGCTGACCAAAATTTGCTCATGTCCAACGAAATCCCAACTGTCAGACATTATGTCCAGACAATTTTTTTTTATCGTAAATCATTTTATGGTAAGGATGAATAAAAATCTACATTGAGTAAATCTTTCCTTTTTCGGTGATGTCCAACCACAATTTGTTTTGTCTGACCAAGATGGTGTCTTAGTAGGACAAATGTCCTTTCAAGAGAAAAAAATTATTTGCAGCCCTGTAGAGTGAATACTGTTTCAGGAAGATTGCAAGTGAAAAGGAATGCATACAGTAAGTCAGTTAGTCATGACTCAATGGTGCAAATAGCAAGCGGATGCAGTTAGCACGGAATATCTGTACACCACCTAGTGATTTCAGGTAGAGGAGTGTGAACTAATTAGAAGCTTGGTGCAAGGCAGCTCAGTGTGATATGCCGGCCAGTATAGTGAATAAATAGGTCTAACCATGGGAACTGGTATAGCTTAGAGCTAGGACTAATAGTGATATGAGAAAGGATATGTTATTTTTTCCATATTTTCTAAATAACTGCATGGTGTCATGACGAATACAAAGGTTGCATAACGTTTTTTTTTTTTTTAAATGGCTACCTGCACATTTATGTCCAGCGAGATGTTTTGCATCATTTTGTGATAATTTTGCATTTCGCCAATTTCAGTCGCTAGTTCCCTTATTGGTGAACTCTTTAACCAATCAAAACACTTGACACTTCTTTCAGCCAATCACGAGAAGCGCCGAAACAAAAAGGAGTTTACCCATGTCTCGTGAGTCACGGGGTCCTGCTGAAATCGGCCAGGTGCCCAAGGGGAAAATAACCAACGTTCAGTTGTCGGAACTGTTTGCGAAAAGACTGGAGGATCCCGACACATGGACAGCAGAGACGCTTGCTAAACATTACCAACTCGACCAGGAGGCCTTGTCTGCGGTTTTGAAATTTTATAGTGACTACGCAATTGTTAAGAAAAGAGACTTGCCCAGACCGGAGGAGCCGAAGTTTCTTGGTTGACATGGTTGATATGGACCTATATCTGCTGCGGCCGGTGAATATGGATTGATGTCGCATGGCAGGGAAACAATTTACGGTATCATATGATTGGTTACTTAACAGTGTCGATATCCGTTGATCAGCTCCTTGGGAAAAAAAAAAGACAACGCTGTGTGGGGAAATTTCGGTATGAACTCCAAGTTACTCAAATTTGTGTCTTGTTCTCTTCAGTTTGACTGATTTCGATCGTTTCCGTTTGGATAGTAAAAAAATGTTGCATCGGTGGTAGAACGTTCGAGTGCAGTCGATGGTTTGGTGGTGACAAAAGTCAATTCAATCATGGCAAATATTATATCTCGGTATCTTTCACCACTTTAATAGTCAAACTTTACAGAAACACCGCCAACTGCTAGTTTTCTTTGGTGAAAAAAAAAACATACTCTGAGCGGTCAACCTTACCTTTTAACCTTTTACTGAATAATGCCGAGTTGACATATTCAGTTACTCGATACTGAGGGATTGCTGATAATGACGAAGACCAGTTATTTCACGCTGTGAGAACCGGACATAATCCTTGTCTGAAGGACTGGCGAACTTGCTCTTCAAAGAATAAAGGCGAGGGAGAAAAGAGACAGGAAAACGTTGTTATTTTAGCATTTAAGGGCCCAGCGGTATCTTTTCATTGTGAAATGTTTTTTTTCCTGTGACTCAAGGTAACACACTGATATGTGGTGGTGCTAATGCAGTGGCTTGCCAACTCTTCCCCCCCCCCCCCCCCCCCCCTAAAATCATTGCTACCGTGTTCAAAGTTTCCATGAACCTGCAGAAATAAACGGCGACGTTACGAAACTGATTTTGCTTTGGTTTTCTTTCTTAAGTTAAACGGAAAACTCAGTTGATAACTTTCCCGCGGCTGTTTGAGAGCTGTAAAATCCAAGCCCGTATAGCAGAATTTCTTGGATCCTTTCCATTAGTGATATCTTTTTATCATAGAATTGTCGCCAGAGCTCGGTGGTGAAGTCCAGTTTCTGTAGGTTGAAGCACCAAGGGTATTAGTGCTAACTCTCTTGGATAGAATGCTTTTCCATCAGCGGTTATTTCCGGTATTCCGCGAATGTATGAACGAAGGAACCAAAATATGAACACTGAAAAGTGTTTTAATATGGGCCGGGACGCATTCCAGGGGAAACATTCAGTTTTAAATTCGAAAATGCACCAACGCATTTCGAATTCTGCTTTCAATCAACTTTGACTCGTTTTGGAATTTGTATTTTATTGGCAATTGTGAGAGCCAAGAACCTTTACAACTCAATTCTCGAAGGGAGCTCTTGTCTCCTTTGCTGACTGCTAAATCCCAAAAAAATAAGGTAATGGTAAAAGGGTAAAAAAAAAAATGAGTTAATGGCTAAAACTATTAAGAGTACAACTAGTCAGCCCATCCAGAACAAAATTGCATTTTTACGTTGTTGTTCTTTTTTTTTTTTAATCCAGGGGTTTTAAGCCCGTTATTACAATCATTAAGTGATATTATGGTTATATATGATAATCTGTCTGCCTTCATTCTGTACGTGAAGAAATCTTTACCCAGCAATTTAAAACATTTTTGTGTTTCCAAAATATTTCCTGGGGGGAAATCTTTAGCGTCACGTATCTGCAGGTAGATAAGGCAGATCATTTTGGTGGCTGATGAAACACTTTGCGGAATGAGAACTTTGGTAAATGCGGCTTAACCAATGTGACTCGATTGAAAAACAGAGATATTAGCATGATGTTGGTCATTCGTGAAAAAAAGTATTCAGACATTCCTTTGATATTGTAAACAGTACGGCACCAGTCTCTCTTATGACTACATGTGACTAGAACTCGCACATTTTGTCTGATTAGAGTTTAACTGTATGAAATATCATAACATTTTTAAGCATTGCCAGCGGAGAAAAACAGAATGAAGCAAACACAACGTTAAGTCGTAAACAACCCTTTTTTCTAGGTATTTGTTGGTCTGCAGATACTCACTACTTTTTAGCTACTAAATGACAATTAAAAAGAATTTGACCGGCTTTAAATGTACTTTGCTGGAAGGCATGTGAGGCGAATATTTGTAATTAAGTAGCCCTGACTGTCACTCAGACCCGAAGGCTCCGAGATTCTGATTAAGATAATAATACAGATAAGGATAATTGAATAAAACATGTCGCCAAGAGTTTAGACTTCTTGTCAGGAAGTAGCATGTCCGAGCACGTGCGTTCCTCAGTAGTGATATCACCGATTTCCGATTTCTGCTTGTTTTTCTCCATCTCTCGGCGTGATTAAGTTTCGCATTTTGGACAAATCTTCGCCAAAACTTTTGGAAGAGTTTCCTATCTTTTTCTCATCCAGTTCAAACGAGCACGTGCATGCTATCGAGTACGCTGTATACTTACACGTGATCAGCACGCATGATACGCCATTTTCCGAAGCGACGCCGCTGAAGAAAATGACCCTGTGCTCAGTCATATTGAGCAAGGTCCACCATTAGCCCTACGCAAATTATCCGCAGCTTGCATGGAATCTTGTTTACGAAGTTTCTAACAGGAAGGCATTCCAGGAAGTTATCTAATAAAGTGTCCGTTTGCCTTTGGCATCTTCTCTTGACCCGTTTTATCGCTGACACCGTTGTATAGCCTCGGTGATTCAAAGCAGCCTTTTTAATTTCTCTTCCAGTAATATCGCTTATTATTTTCTCAGACGGGCTAGTCTTGAGATAGAGAAACTGATCTCGAAAACGATCTTTCCAATTTGTAAGTAAATTGGCATGTGACTAGTACCCATACAAGACCATATTTCAGTATTTCAAGAATGCGAGTTTCGTAGCCTATTTGCATTGTTTTGCATAACCTTTTCTTAATTACCTTTTTTTTCACTAATTAGTGTTGGACATGATAATAATAATAATAATAATAATAATAATAATAATAATAATAATAATAATAATAATA